TTGCCAGGTGTAGTTGTCGCCAAATTGATGTTGTTTTGAACAGGCGCAGTTAATTTGTTGATTGCCAATTTCATTTCATTCATTTCCTCAAAGAATGTTTACGTTCGTTATTCGTATTGCTGTAATGTCCATTGTTTCGTCATCATCTTGATCGAGGACAGCACTTTTACGTTTTGGTTGCGAAGTCATCCAATCGTTTTCGTAATAATACAATTTCAAGCTTCTTATGCTATCAGCAATGGAAAGCGCTATCAACTTCGTTGATTTCCGTGTTAGGTTGGGTTAGGTGGTTTTTAAAAATAATGAATTCTTCAATTCAATAAAAGATCGGCATATGGCCAATCTCGGCAATCAGAAAAAATGCAATAGTACAATCGATCATAATAATTCAATGAAAATAATGAGAAAGAAAAACTAGCATAATAATAAAAAAGGGAATAAAAATAACTAATAAAATAGAAATTTTTATGGCCGGACATGCTTCAAGGTTGTTTACTTGTCCTAAATGAAAATTGATGATTGCGAGAGGATAATTTATTGCCAAAATGATTTGCTTTTACATTAATTTCTATTTGTGTGATGAAAGGAATGATGGATATATCTGCAGCAATAATTTCAAAATTGATGGTGATGATGGGGTTGGTGGATGATGGCTGGACTGGATCTGTACTGGATGGGACTGACTCGATTGCTGGCCGTTGGCTGGTACTGTGATACAATAAATGCATCATTGGAGCCCGACTCATGGTTGGTGATGGGTAGTGGATCAGTCGTCGTCAGTAAGCTTGTTGTTGGTTGATCGTGATTGACTTGGACCGTTTTCGGTTGAAAGATGGTCTTTTTCCCGTACCCATCTATACCCGACGACTGAGCGTCCTTTGAATCACAAATATGGATGGAAGAGATGGAAGATTGCCGCAAATTATCCTTCAAAACAAAGAAGATGAAATGGAACGATGGTAGATGAAGAGACACAAGATAAAAAGTGTGGAAGAAGAAAACAATGTGTCCTGTGTATCGAAGTGTTGTGTTGTTGATATGGTGTGTGTTTTGACGAAATTTCTTCCAAGCTATGGCAACGTTTCACTTGATAAAAATGATGATAATTGATGAAAAACAAATGTTGTGCATTGATTGGCAGCATAACACTAGGTCTTCGGAACTCGATTGATCGGTGGTTTTGGTGGCTTTTTATATTGAAAATTTTTCTGTCTCGAAAATTTATCAAGTTGTCCTAGCATTATGATTACTAGCTGGTGGTTAATATTAATGATGTTGCTGCTGATGTTATACTAAGATTCAATGGATTGATTATGCTCGGATGATCATTGTGGCTCACAGTGTGTGGTGACTATTTTTATCATTTGGTTGTTGATTTAGACGATGTTGCTGTTGTTGCTCATTCGATTTTCATGTTGTTGACATTGTATTTCTGCCACGATATTATATTCATTTTTTGATCGATTTGTTTTCAATTTCATCGTCAATTATTTTAAGCTAAGTATTTTAAATTAAATTAACTATTAGGAATTATTTGTCTAATCAATTTATAATATCAATTATTCTAGTTGTTTGGTGGTCAAATCTGTGATATATTCTGTTCGGCTTCAGGAAAGCAATTATCTGTGATTCAATAGGCACTTTTATCAAATTCTAGGATTAACAAATTTTGATTTTATCTTCCATGTACTATCTGACAATCCATTTCGATGACATTGACCATTCTTAATAATATCGACGAAAAATTTCCATGTAACTATATCTGTGATAAATGATCCAGCAACTGTGATACAATAGGTACTTTTTCAAATTTAGGATTATCAAATTCAAATTATTTTCATAACTTATTCATTTTAGTTCAAACGATAATTTTTATGTTGCCTGATTCTGGTGGCGATTCTGGATGGTGGTTTTGAATCGATAACATGTTCATGATGATGATACGAAGGATTTTGGCCATTATTTTAATTATTATTTTTACTTTGAAATTATTCATTGAATCGATGTCAATTATACTTGATTTGCCATTGTTATACCTATTTTTCCCAGAAACTAGGTCAACTTATTATTTTCAATTGCCAAAATTATTTGTCGAAAATGTGGCAGGCCAGCCAGCATTGGATGGAGCCAATATATATTACTGTGTATGAGAGAGACGAATTAGCTGTTACCAGGAATTTCTTCTTTACATAGAAATGTTGTGGCCACCATTAAGAAAGATAGTAATTGATGAAGTGTCTCTCCACTAGCCGTCTGTCAGTGGCTGTTTACGGGTGCCACCCTGAAACTGAAACAGACTGGTACTATATGCGTGTTGGTGTGTCTTGTGTTGGTGTGTGTGTGTGTGTCTGTGACAGATGTTGTTTTCTATGTGTGGTTGGTACAATAAAAACTGCGTCTGTGATGGTGTTGTGTGCATGAAGGATGAAAAGTACCTATAAAGATGATTTCAATAATTTGGCTACTGGAGACTAGGTGGACATTCCTAGGCGAAGCAATACGCATACAGTTGATGTGATAATGGCTGGCTAAATTTCACAAATCACGGTGGGCGAAGTTGATGTATTGAATTTCTATGAATGTCAGCAAAAATGGCGATATTGGCAAAAAAGATGGCTGTTATCTCAATTCTTGATTTCGGATTCGTAGATCTACTTGTTGCCAGTCTATAATCGTTACGAAGCCGGTTCGTCATCGGACAATCGTTGATTAGATGCGTTACGTCCTGTACAGGGAAACCGCACACACAAGCAATATCATCAGAGATGCCAAAACGGGCCAGATAACATCCAAACTGCCCATGTCCGGTTAAAGTATGAGTGAGAAACCTGTTGATTAAATTTGAAAACTGCCTGGCATCTCCGACATGATGGCAAATATTTTTGATATTACTGCCGAAACGATCATTTCTGTATTTATCATCCCATTTGACCAGCATATTTCTGTATTCGATTTTCTTGATTACTTTCAGATGAATGTATTCATAATCATATCTTCTATTTCGAAACTTGCCAGTTCGTCGTGCCACCTGTTTCAATTTTCGGTAGTGTTGATTTTCACGGTCCACCTTGGTCCACATTATTGTTATGTTGTTGCTTGCTGTAGCGGCAATCTTATTGGCCAGACTTTGCTTTCTTCTATGGTCATCACGTTTTAAATGTTGAACCGTACCGATATTATTTGTTAAAATATACGTTGATCGTCCGCCCAGATTGATGTTTGTCCATTCTATAGCCATCTTAATTGTGAACAAATCTGCTTGCTGCAATGTACCATACGTCGGTAGCCTAAAGCTTTTAACGGCTATTCTGTTGTTGTCAATGAAAGCCATGAATGCAGCACCAATACCACGATTTGTTAAGATCGATTTGATGAAGATTCTTGATGGTGTCATAACGGCCGGTTCTCGCACGATAAAATTTATATGCCTATTGATTGATGGCTCTTGTGCTTCTTCTATATCCACCGAGATTTCGTTATCATAATAATTGTATTTCTTGGTCACTCTGGACTTGACAATGGTAGCACGAAGATTGATCAATAAATCCAAAGGCGGGAAATCTGCTATTGCTGATGTGGCTACCACTGGTGCCGTACGATACGCTTTTGTAGCTTTTTGTGCTAGGGGCTTAAGCAACTTCCGCAAATGGTTAATTATATGCTGGTATCTCGTGGCATGACATGTAATCACTGCCCCATACGTGATAATCGGTTCAATCATGCTGTGGTGGATTAACTGAAGCACCCGGGGACTTAGGCGTAAGGGGTTAGGTTGGTTAGGTTAGGTTTAGGTTAGGTTAGGTTAGGTTGGGTTGGTTTTTTTATTTTTTTTTTTTAAATTTAAAAATAATTTATTTCAATTCAATAAAAGATCGGCATATGGCCAATCTCGGCAATCAGAAAAATACAATAATTCAATCGATCATAATAATTCAATGAAAATAATGAGAAAAAGAAAAACTAACAATAATAAAAAGAAAAGGAATAAAAATAACTAATAAAATAGAAATTTTTATAATGGACATCTTCCAAGGTTATGTTACTTGTCCTAGATGAAAATTGATGATTGCGAGAAGGATAATTTATTGCCAAAATGATTTGCTTTTACATTGATTTCTATTTGTAATGATGAGAATGATGGATATATCTTGGCAATAAATTTCAAAATTGTTGATGGTGATGATGAAGTTGGTGGATGATGGCTGGACTGGATCTGTACTGGATGGGACTGACTCGATTGCTGGCCGTTGGCTGGTACTGTGATACAATAAATACATCATTGGAGGCCCGACTCATGGTTGGTGATGGAAAAGTGGATCGGTCGTCGTCAGTGTTGTTGTTGGTTGGACGATTGACTTTGACCGTTTTTCGGCTGGTGATGGTCTTTTTCCCGGTACCCATCTATACCCGACGACTGAGCGTCCTTGAATCACAAATATGGATGGAAGAATGGAAGATTGCCGCAAATTATCCTTGAAGCAAAGAAGATGAAATGGAACGATGGTAAATGAAGAGACACAAGATAAAAAGTGTGGAAGAAGAAACAATGTGTCCTGTGTATCGAAGTGTTGTGTTGTTGATATGGTGTGTGTTTTGACGAAATTTCTTCCAAGCTATGGCAACTTTCACTTGATAAAAATGATGATAATTGATGAAAAACAAATGTTGTGCATTGATTGGCAGCATAACACTAGGTCTTCGGAACTCGATTGATCGGTGGTTTTGTTGGCTTTTTATATTGAAAATTTTTCTGTCTAATTATCATTATCCTAGCAATATAATGAGATTACTAGCTGGTGAGTTAATATTAATTTTTTAAAAGAAAAATAATTTTATTATTCATTTAAAAAGGTCGGCAATGGCCAACCAAGGATATCAATCAATACAAAATTCAATAAAAAAGATCATGAATCGATCATATGGAAAGAATGAAAAAAAAAAACAAAGATAAAATAAGAAGAAAAAAAAAAAAAGAACTAATAAACAAAAATTGAATAAAATGAAAAATTTCAAATTTGAAAATTGTGTCCATTGTTGTGTGTGTGTTGTAGGATTATGTGTTTGTGTAGAAATGGTACGATAATAACAATGCTGATGGCGTAACATGCTGCAGTAAAGACTGTGCGAAAAGAAAGTTAAATAATAAACCGCCAATCGAGAAGAAGCCACAGGTGATATACGACCAACGGTCAAGTATGGCCGGGAAGAAGATATGCCGAAGATTGGCGAAATCACAGCCGATAAATGAAGCAAGTTGAACGAGGCTGGTGTTGATCCAGGCCGGTGGTAAATGTGTCGATGTTTGATGGTGATGGCCAGGATTCGTTCAATGATTGTTGTGAAGAAAGGCCAGTGTGTATTGTGTATGTGTGAGTGTGGTATATTTGTGTATGCTGGTGTTTGAAGACTATTATCATGAAAAACAAAAGACAATGATCATGGATTGACACAATTGAATGTTGACAAAATTTAAGAAAATTGTGCAGCATAACCAATAGGTCGGTCGATCGCAACCAAATGTGGCAATTTCAAGTGTTTAAATACCGAAACAATGATTGGAAAAAAAAAAAAAAAAATTGACTCGTCTTTGGGGGTGGCATGTGTGGATGAGATGGGAGTGATACTCAAGTGTTATTTTTGACGCTAAAAAAAAAAGAAAAAGTTTTTGATTTTTCGGTAAAGTCGCCAACGCCTAGATTTTTAATTTTGGCGCCATGATTTCATGTTTTGCCGATAGGTGGTGAAGATGCTTGTTTTTGTTTGTTCAATTGCTGCTGTTGTCGAAATGGCCATCCAACTTGCTCATGTTATTGTTTACATTCGATTTGTGTAGTGAATTTGAATTGTTTTCCAATGTTGATTGCTATACTTTAATTCGGGTAAGTTGTTCTATTTAATTGAATTCAATTTATTTGCGATCATCGATTCTGGACCCAACGTGTGCTGATTGAAAGAGGTAATGTCTTCATTTTGATTTTCTGGATTGTTTACTAATTATTCATCTTTTCAGGATTATTATTTGAATTGACATCTATATTGATTACTGGTGCTGGGCCAAGAAGAATCACCTGTGATATTTCAATTTTCAATCGATTTTAATATACGATTTTAGCTTGCCGATTTTATCAATTTTCATCAATAGGATTTTCAAATTGTAGATTTAACCAATTGTAGAAGTATCAAATTTTTAGGATTTTCCAATTTAGTTTTAACCAATAATCGACTTATCATATGTTATCGACGAAGATTTTGAGCCCCAATCTGGCTAGTTGTTATTATCATCAGTTGTGCAGATCAATTTGACGTAAATCGTTTGTAATTTCTGATTCAATAATCATTAAGATTTGGCCAATTGTAAGATGAAGAATTATGGATTGATGGTTACGATAATATGATTTCCAGATTGTGGATTGGACCAATTGTGAAGCTATCGATTTTTAGGATTTTCTATTTTTAGTATTAATCAATAATCGACTTATCATATGTCTAATATCGACTTATCATTTTTGGAGTGATTTAATCAATTCTGGTTGTTGGTCTGTTACTATTGAATGATTATGGCACATCTGTTGACCTGCCGTTATGTGATGATTTGCCTTAGTGAATTATGTCTTGATTCGATGCCAAAAAGTAAATAACGCCAAAATTGTAACCTGTTGACATGATTTTTGATGGATAATTAAGACAGCTGGTGTAAATTTTTATATTTTTTTTTTGTTTGTAAACAACGCCAGTGCTGCCATCTGGGTTTTCTTTTGTGAACTAGCCAATAATTTGAGCCAATTGTTATTTATATATTTTTTGTTTGTTGCCATCGATAGTGGTGCCATCTAGTTTTTCTTTTGTGGACTAGTCGATGATTTGAGCCAGTTGTTGTTTGTGTATATTTTTGTTTATTGACATTGTTGAAGGTGCCATCTGGTGTGTTTTTCGAGAATTTATACATTTATTTGTGCCAATTGTTGTTTATTTATGGAAATGATCAGCTGATTCGATCAAGTTCAATAATACTTCAAAGAATGTCGAATATCTCTCTGCTAAGTAACCACATGTTGCATTGTGTTGTGTACTGTCGGTAAATGTTACATGTGTTTGCAGTTGTTGTGTCCGGTGTTTGCGAAAGACGTGTTGAATTACATTCTGGTTCATGTTATTATTTGTTGTGTAAGTGTGGACACGTTGCTTGTGATGACCGAAGTTCACTCCCTGATTGACATAGCTGTTTACGGGGGCTACCCAGAAGATGTCAATCTGTTGCTTGCTGATCTGTGTTTGTTGTGTGTGTGTTCGTCTGTTACATTTGTTGTGTAATTTGTGTGTGTGTCTTAATGATAATTAAAAGAAAGACATGATTAAAATCTCGTAGTGTGTAAATACTTGTGTGTGTGTATCAGCAGTTCGCAACATCTACCCTCCCTTTCCTAACAACAGCTAGGTTAGGTTAGGTAAACGTGCGAGCCGAACCTCACGAGCGGAGCTCGTGACGGTTCGGCGGTGTTTCCGGAGGAGTGAACTTCGAGCCAAACCTCACGAGCGTAGCTCGTGACGGTTTGGCGGAGTCACGGAGAAAATGTGGTCACAAGCTGAGCATTGTCATCAATCGGCGGTGCATAACTAGCTGTCATTACGATGGCAGATGTATTCCAGAAATTAAAAAGACTTCAGCTATTTGTATTGGATTTGAATGGGAATACACAGTTGGTTGACCAAACGACACAAGCTGGCTGTGATGTAATTGTTGGCAACATATTTGGATCAAATTTGATTTTTATTAACGAAGAAAATACAAAATTTTGTGGTGATGATGGCTATTGTGTGTATTGGTTGATTGATGGATGTTCGATTATTGGATAGATTCAGCTAATGTTTACATTGACATTTGGTGGCAGTGGCTGGTTATTTGTTGATAGTGAATGGTCATGATGATGATTGGATAAACAGAAGATTTTGGCACAAGGCCGACCCTATACTTTTGTTTAATGGATGGTAATTGTTTGACACTGATTATTTGTTGGTACACAGTTTAATAAAGGCAATAAGTTCGGCATTGGCTGGCTCGATGATTCAAATTGATTTGTCACTACCTGTTGAATAATATTTGATGATTATGATTTGGCACACGGTAATAATATGGAAAAAGATTGTAATTCATATTGATGTTATCATTGTTTGTCACTATAGTGATTGTCATTTTATCTACGATATTGAATGGATGGCATTTAGTAGACATTGGGCACTTGTTTCTATATGATTTGATAAATGCAGTAAATTGAACATTGATTGGCTATTTGTTGATTGATTTGATAATTAGAATTGGTTTGACACTAGTTGTTGGATAATGTTTGCTGATTACGATTTGGCACACAGTGGTAATATGGAAGAGGATTGGAAATCAAATTGTTGTTGTCATTTTTATCACTACAGTAGTTGTCATTTATCTACGATATTGAAAGGATGGCAATTAGTTGGCACTGGGCACTTGTTGATGTTTAACTTGTTATTTATGATTGGCGATGGATTGAACACAGATTGGCAAATTGTTGATTATTTAATTATATACTGTTCAATGATCATTTTTTGTTGATTTTGTTAATTATGATTTGGACACACAGTAATTCAATGGAGAGATCAGAATTCATGTTGTTGTTGTTATTTTTCATGGCTATAATAGTTGACTTTATCAGCAACACGTTGTAACATTCTCATGTAGTAAACTGGGCACATTTTGCTGACACTATTATGATTGGATGAATCCTTTACACCTGATCTTTTACAGTTGATACATTGTGGCGGACATTTTTTATTTGGGCACAGTTCATGTTTATGTGTCATAGCACAGTGATGACAAACCTGTTGCTCTGGCTTGTATAGACAATTGCTAGCAATGTGACTGAAACCATAACAGCGATAACATTGTCGGAGTGGTGACATATCTTCAGCATGAACTAATGCGTAATCCAGAATAATTTTGCCATTTAATTCATTAATTACGATATCACGGATGGCTGGATCAATTGAGATAATATAATTGATTAGTAGTTCATTTCTAAAATTCTTTCTACTTGCGACTACTTCCACCAGTTTGGTGATATCAAGATTATTTGTGTTGACATAGTGTGCAATGGGATAATTAAATGAAGCAAACATTGATGGTATTTCTTCTTTATTAACATCCAAACGGACACCTTTTAACATGATAGTTGGCTTTAATTTTCGTGGTGGCTCTATGTTGATTTTTTTCGTTGCTTTTGCTAACATTTCAAATTTGTTTTTGCTGGCTTTATCCTTGAAATCGATAATCATCTTGCCTTTTGATAAACTTTTTGCATCGGTCATCTCAATTCCTTCTTTGGCTGGTTGTATTAATTGCGATAATGTTTGTCTGGTCATTGATGTATTTTCATTATCGGGCAAGAATACGACTGTTTGATGTTTTTCAATTGTGGTTTTTTTGTTTTCTTTAATGATATCGGCAAATGTTAATGATTTGGCTTGTTGATTTTTCGTGGTTGTGATGTTTTGTTTATTGATGACATTTGCTAAATTGTTGATGCTATCTTTGATATCGTCCATGCATGATTTTAATTCAGATTTGGTTACGTAATCATTATCGCCATCCATTGTTACATCGTCGCGTGGGTCCATATCGTTATCATGACGTTTCCGTTTATTGGCTGTAGTCAATTGTTCTTTCAATTCGATGTTTTCTAACAATAATTCTAATGCATATGCAATAGCTTCAACGACTTTTTCTTTTTTTCCCGTTGTGATATTGCCACTAAGTCTTGATGCCATGGCTAATGTTTCCTTCAGGAATTTGGCACAATCATTTGCAGATGGGAGTCTTTCGATTGAAAAATTGACTGGTGTATTGCTTCTCGAAATGGTGGTGGTGATTGGTGTTTTAGTTGATGTGGTTTGGATATTTGTTGTTGCTGGTTGGTAAAGAGCTGAATTTGGTGTGGACGATGTGGATCGAACGTCTCGATAATTTGACATATTATTATTGGTTACTGGTGGGTTGGCATTATCTTGATATTGTGGCTGGTATTGTTGTTGATGTTCGTATTGGTAAATGTTATGTACATATTGTGGATGTGGTTGTGCATATTGAGGATGATGACCATGTATTGAAACGGGAACCGCGTTCTGATATTGTGAAGTGGCAATATTATAACCATAGGAATCTAGTTGATATGTCATAATATGTTGATCTGAACTTGTTGTTGGCATTTGTTGTGCTGTTGTGTGAGCTGATGCAGTGGCTAGTTGAGCGGTGGATTGCTGATGTTGTTTTGTCGTTGAAATATCAATATACTGTTGCTCGTCATCTGTTATCATATCATGGACTGATGCGTTACTCCCGGCTGGTGATGTTGTGGTCCGATTACTACCCGATCCGGGTTTTTTATTGCCGCTACCGGGCTTTCGATTATTGGTTTTGTTCGTGGGGCCCATTACTGCCCGATCATTACTCTGTGGTATCAAAAGAAAGCGAAAATTAGATATGCGGATAACAAAAATAACGTGAAAGATGGCCGCCAACGAGAAGAGCCACAGGTGGTAAACGACCAACGGTCAAGTATGGCCGGGAAGAAGATATGCCGAAGATTGGCGAAATCACAGCCGATAAATGAAGCAAGTTGAACGAGGCTGGTGTTGATCCAGGCCGGTGGTAAATGTGTCGATGTTTGATGGTGATGGCCAGGATTCGTTCAATGATTGTTGTGAAGAAAGGCCAGTGTGTATTGTGTATGTGTGAGTGTGGTATATTTGTGTATGCTGGTGTTTGAAGACTATTATCATGAAAAACAAAAGACAATGATCATGGATTGACACAATTGAATGTTGACAAAATTTAAGAAAATTGTGCAGCATAACCAATAGGTCGGTCGATCGCAACCAAATGTGGCAATTTCAAGTGTTTAAATACCGAAACAATGATTGGAAAGAAACAAAAAAAAAAAAAAAAAAAAAATTTTGACTCGTCTTTGGGGGTGGCATGTGTGGATGAGATGGGAGTTATACTCAAGTGTTATTTTTGACGCTAAAAAAAAAAAGAGAAAAAGTTTTTGATTTTTCGGTAAAGTCGCCAACGCCTAGATTTTTAATTTTGGCGCCATGATTTCATGTTTTGCCGATAGGTGGTGAAGATGCTTGTTTTTGTTTGTTCAATTGCTGCTGTTGTCGAAATGGCCATCCAACTTGCTCATGTTATTGTTTACATTCGATTTGTGTAGTGAATTTGAATTGTTTTCCAATGTTGATTGCTATACTTTAATTCGGGTAAGTTGTTCTATTTAATTGAATTCAATTTATTTGCGATCATCGATTCTGGACCCAACGTGTGCTGATTGAAAGAGGTAATGTCTTCATTTTGATTTTCTGGATTGTTTACTAATTATTCATCTTTTCAGGATTATTATTTGAATTGACATCTATATTGATTACTGGTGCTGGGCCAAGAAGAATCACCTGTGATATTTCAATTTTCAATCGATTTTAATATACGATTTTAGCTTGCCGATTTTATCAATTTTCATCAATAGGATTTTCAAATTGTAGATTTAACCAATTGTAGAAGTATCAAATTTTTAGGATTTTCCAATTTAGTTTTAACCAATAATCGACTTATCATATGTTATCGACGAAGATTTTGAGCCCCAATCTGGCTAGTTGTTATTATCATCAGTTGTGCAGATCAATTTGACGTAAATCGTTTGTAATTTCTGATTCAATAATCATTAAGATTTGGCCAATTGTAAGATGAAGAATTATGGATTGATGGTTACGATAATATGATTTCCAGATTGTGGATTGGACCAATTGTGAAGCTATCGATTTTAGGATTTTCTATTTTAGTATTAATCAATAATCGACTTATCATATGTCTAATATCGACTTATCATTTTTGGAGTGATTTAATCAATTCTGGTTGTTGGTCTGTTACTATTGAATGATTATGGCACATCTGTTGACCTGCCGTTATGTGATGATTTGCCTTAGTGAATTATGTCTTGATTCGATGCCAAAAGTAAATAACGCCAAAATTGTAGCCTGTTGACATGATTTTTGATGGATAATTAAGACAGCTGGTGTAAATTTTTATTTTTTTTTGTTTGTAAACAACGCCAGTGCTGCCATCTGGGTTTTCTTTTGTGAACTAGCCAATAATTTGAGCCAATTGTTATTTATATATTTTTTTTTGTTTGTTGCCATCGATAGTGGTGCCATCTAGTTTTTCTTTTGTGGACTAGTCGATGATTTGAGCCAGTTGTTGTTTGTGTATATTTTTGTTTATTGACATTGTTGAAGGTGCCATCTGGTGTGTTTTTCGAGAATTTATACATTTATTTGTGCCAATTGTTGTTTATTTATGGAAATGATCAGCTGATTCAATTTAGTTTAATGATACTTCATAGGATGTCGAATATCTCTCTGCTAGGTGACCACATGTTGCATTATGTTGTGTTCTGTGGGTAAATGTTACGTGTGTTTGC